CCCCAAAACCCCAAAACCCCAAAACCCCAAAACCCCTAAGTTAATTTTAGTTATTGAAAATCAATATTAAGCAAGAATTCTTACAATCGGTTGAGAGATCTCTTTAGATTTCATGAACTCTTTGATAAACTTTGCATACTCCTTTTTGGTAATCTTTTCATTTGGTTTGTCTTTTGATGGCTTCTTATTGTTCTTAAACTCACTATAAAACACTTCTCCTTTTCTGTTAATAAACTTGGCTTTGCCTTCTTTTCTGTTATTGTCAAATCTTCCTTCATAGTATTCATTTAGTGATGCATTGTATTCTTTGCCAAACCCGTCTTTATTTATCATTCTTCCATCTTCCTTCATATTTGCTACCGTCAGGCATGAGTAATACTCCGTCACCTTCTCTTCTTCTATCTTCAAAGGTTCCTTCATAAGTATCCCCATTTGCATAGACTAGTTTTCCTCTTCTTCCAATTTCATATCCATTTATTTCACCAGCATAGACTCTTCCATTAGTGAATTGGATAGTTGCTGGGGATAGTAAGACTCCATACTCAAAATTTCCTGTCAGAGTAGTCCCATTAGTCAGTGTAAGGGTACCTCTGCCATGGTATTGGTTGTTTAGGAACCTCCCTTCGTATCTTTGTCCGTTTGACAGAGAGAGTTCTCCTTTATATCTTCTATCATTTTTCCAAATGCCTTGAAAAATCTCTCCGTTAGCGTATATCATCTTTCCAGTGCCATCTCTTCTATCTCTGACCCATTTTCCTTCGTATTCTCCAATATCGTTCCTATCTGTTCCAGATTTGTTAGTGACAAATGCCATGGTCCCTTTACCATGCCTTTTGGTTCCTTTAAGGATGCCTACATATCAGTCACCATTTTTATATTTTATCTCTCCTTTTCCATAAAGTTTTCCTTTGAGAAAGTACCCATTCATGAAAGATTTGTCATGATGATGAGAGTCCTCATTGTTATTTTGCTCTTCGACAAGACTCATATATCTGTTACCTTCTTTGTCAGCAAAAAGGCCATGACCATCAGCAGTATCTTCAATGAACTGACCGATATATTCACTGCCGTCGTGGAATCTGAGTCTAGATTTTCCTACTCTTTGGTTGTCAAGGAATTCACCATCATAGATATCACCGTTAGAGTAATAATGAATTCCTTCTCCATGTCTTCAGCCGCCTGTTTTAGCAAGGCCAACATACATCTCGCCATCAGGATAAAGAATCTTGACTTTTCCTTCTTCAATGATCCCATCTTTGAAGTTACCTTCAATGAGAGAGTTTTTATTGGTAAGGATGACTCCATAGCCTTGAGCTTGCCCCTCAGCAGTCTCTCCAAGAAAGAGATCTCCGGAAATAGTCAACTTAATCACTTTGAAAATATTGAAATTAGATGTCTTAATTGCTGTTTTTAGGATCTCTTTTCATTCAAAAAGAAAGCGCTGTTGACCTTTGGATAGCTTCACTGCTTTATTAGCACAATTAAGGTTGGTCACAACCTGTAGTTTCTTCTCAAGCTTCTCTCGGATTTTCTCTTGAGAATATTGATACAGATTTATCAAACCATTGTCTCCAATTACTACGTTTTTCTTATCAATTTTTGTGATATTTTTTATAGCAATATCAAGTTCCTCCTCTGAGGCAGTAATACTCGGCTGTCTAGCACATTCAGTGTTTACGTGGATAGAAAGGAGATCATGGCGGTCTTCATCTGAGAGAAAATTACAGATTTTCTATGGTTAAACAGCTAAAATACCTTAAATTCTTTTCTCGATGGGTACGCTTTCTGTATTCCAAAATTACTTCTATCAAAATTTGGAACTCTTTTTGACTCAACACTTGAATTATAATTCCTTGAAAATGACTTCTTCTGTGAACTCTCTTGACCAATATGAATATTAATTGGAGGAAAATCCTGGAATTTTCCTGATTGTCCTACGAATAACTCATTTGGCTTACCATTCTCAAGGTTTGCTTTGGTAAGAGGCCTATTTTCAGAAATATTCAACCTTCTAGTCGAGTAGTCCTGGGTTTTATTCATATAACTATTGTTAATGACTCTCTTTCTCTGATTATCAATCGCAAGAGGAGAAATCTGACTATAGGATCACTAAATGTTTTTACTTTTTATTTGCTTGAAGGTATCTGGATGCCAAAGTAGGAACTCCTGTCTGAATTCTAAACCATTTCATGATTCAAACTTACTCTAGTTTATTCTCACTAGGAAGACACTCAGTGTTCTTCCTGGCAAAGGACGAGATGGACCTTGTTTTGAATTTCTTATTTTTGTCCTTTAGATAGCTAAGCAACTTATAGAATTTCTCTTTCTCCTCAGTCTGTTGTATGTTGTGGTGAGAGAGATTCAAAGCAGGCCTGGGAAGCATCAGAGTCTTATTGATTTGGTCATTCTCTCTTTCTGTGTCTGAATCAGAATTCGGAGGTTTTACAAAATTGGTAATCTTTTTGATTTTCAAATCCTACCAAAATCACTCATAAACGTTACTTTTAGATGCGACTGTTTCAAGCAAGTTGAGAATTTTGAATCTTTCACTTTGTCTAAAATATAAATATGAAACCGATAAATCTCTCAGGAATATTTCATAAGCTGTCAAGAATCTCTTGAGGAGGTCTAGCACCTACTAATGTCTATTCTCTTGAGTGTCTTAAACCCGATGCTGGTTTCTTCTCATCATCTTCTTCATCTAGAGCAAGAGTTAGCAATTTTAAGATTTTTATTTTAGAAATTTCAAGAGAACAGTTAATGAACACATAATGAAAATTAAAAATTTACAGGTTGAGTGCCTTCATCTCCTAGAGTTCTGGCTCTTAATTCCATAAATTTGGCTCTTGAGAACTCCAAATTTCTCGCTTTTCTCATAAACTTTTGGTAATGTGGAGGAACTTTGATATCATCTTCCCTTAGATGCTTACTAGCATTGACTCAATTTCGCTTAATATTAACATATTATTTCTCATACTTTTAAGTGTTTGTGATCTGCATTACTTTGATAGAACATAATGATTTCCAAAATTTTTAATTCTGTTTTATATTCAATTTATATTAGTTTTATTGGGGTTTTGGGGTTTTGGGGTTTTGGGGTTTTGGGGTTTTGGGG